CACAAACACAGTGACAACTAATAGATATAAAGTAATGAGGGAAAGAGTAAATCACAATGACAAAACCATAGTAACAATTGTTTCAGGCAAGATCCACAAATGGATACAAAAATCAGTAACTGTTTTGAGAGAAGTAAAGTATTTGTAGAATTTAACACCTCCCCCCAAACATATATGTTCATTAAAAAGTTCAGATTTGTAATGGAGAAGCCTTGTAAGAGAAACTTGGACCAAGTGATCATGGTTCAAAAAAACCCAAAACACCCAAACCCAGAGACTGCGAATCTTTACTGGAATAGACAGCCTCATTGTCCTCCCTTGGCAGGGTGGTGGGTTTGAACTACTGGCGTTGTGGTCAGTTGTCCAACACTTACCCCACAGCACCACCAGGGCTCCTTAAGGTTACCCTCACCAACACTGACCTATACATATAAATGTGCCCCTCATAGTGTGCACTTTAATCAGCAAGTCCATCTATTGTCTTCCCCCCAAATCCATAACCTAATTATAATTGGGGGGATCATCTAAACGGAATTGCGGAACAGTCTGCGGAATGCCCTAGAATGCCTTGAAAGGAGCCAACGGGGGAGCGTAAGGAGACAGGAACACAGAGCACTCCGGAGTCCAGATCGATCCTCGACCTGGAAGCATGGGAGTGACCAATGTGGGGGAGTTGGTGGCATTCCACTGGCCTCACTTTCTTTCTTTTGATCGTTGTACCGTGATCGCACGAGACGCTCGCTGGGGTGAATCTTGCTATGCTGCAACTCTTCTGTGTGATGAAAATTAGTTTGAAATTTTAAAAAAATTGCAAGTGCCTTAGAAATACTGCGGTACCTCTGGGGTTTTATTGTTCTTAAGGCCCTGGCTTCTAGACATGTGATGTCTGCAATCGGCATCATTTCACATCAGTAGGCAGTCCCCATCTGCTCTCTAGAAGGAAAAAGGTTTCATAATCAACATGCTTACTACCTCCAATCTGTAGACCAGTACAGGGGTTCTAGAGCTCCTCCGATCTGAAATACACACGTTCATCAGGTGTCTCTGTAACAAATAAATACTTATCCTGTCTCACAGAGTATATGTAAAACATCTGCTAAGTGAGCATAGATTTAAATATAGACATTTGATTCAAGCAAGCCTAATGAGGGCTTGGATTTGCATTTAACATCATCCTGAGTCAAGGGAAAGGGAATGAAGAAAACATTCAATAAGCCTGATCTCCTTCATTCAAGGATAAGTTTCCTATTACAGCACACTTCCAGAGCAGGGAGAACTCATCCCTGACAGGTGCTCCCTTCTCCAGGTAGAGTGCTCAGGAGACTTTCACCACCATACAGTGGGGAGGCTGGCTGAGAACTCCAAAATCCACAGGGAAACATTCACGTACAAATGGAAGACTTTCTTCTCCCTCCTCCATGTCTGGTGATCCTAATGGGGTCATCCACAGGATCTCCACCGAAAGTTAAAGCTTCTTAGATAGTTTTTAAAA